GGGTAATTGCACCAGACCTCAGCCAGGACTGATTGTGCCTATAAAAAGCAGGTTGTGATGGTAAGACCCAAAGGAGACAAGTTGGTGTCTTTTCAGGATGAGGGATGGACTGTTTTACAGGAGGTTTCTGACTACTGAGAAATTGAAGGACATTAACTTCACTTTGATCCTCTCCTCACAATCTGTGTTGGGAGAAAGCTGAACTGACAGCCATTGGTTTTAAAACCTGATGCAGGATGACCACTGCTCTTTAAAAAAGGGAAACTGAACTGTTTCATGCCAGACACATGGAATTATGATATTCTGATGCTAATTTCCTCCAAACCACCTACAAACTCAAAAACCTGCAACAGAACCACGTTTGCTGACTTTGTCTATCCACTCCCTATCTCCAAAAGCCACAATTCCTCCTCCTGAGGAGATTCACTTCTTGAACAGTTGGGTTTCCACTTGTGACTTTGTAAAAAGCTCTGCTGCTGTGCCAGGGTGTTGGTACTCCCAGGGAAATGTAGATGGCCCAAACTTAGTGTGTTTTCAGGTCCAGTTAGATTTCTAAGCACCCTGAGAGAGCCCCTAAGCTGGCATTTTTCTCTTTATTACTATTATTTTTTTAGCTCAGGTTTGATCTTCTTGTGCAGGCAGAGCTGGGTCCCCACTGGCCTTTTTCCTGATACTACAGGGAAAAGCTGCCTGCCTCTGGTCTCCAAACAAGAGCTGATTCCAGAGAGCCCTGAGCTTATGGAGAGAGAGGGAGTAATGCTGAGCTCATCTGTTTGCCCAGCCTCATAAAATGCAGCCTTTTTCTCTCAAAATCCTCCTGTGCAAATCACATCAGTGACTACTGCTTACCCTGACTTGTGGGTGAGGGTTTCAGCACTGGGTGGTTTTCATGGGGGTAGAGAACTGCACAAGGTTTTTCTAAGTTTCTGCACTGGGTGGTTTTCATGGGGGCAGCTGAGGGTAGAGAACTGCACAAGGTTTTTCTCAGTAAAATGTTTCTTTTTTTCCCCTGTTAACGTCACATGGAAAGTTAGAAGTGAAACTCCCCAGTCTTAAGGAAAAGGCAGCCTGCTTGTTTTACCACTGAGTTTGCATTGAAATTTAGAGGATTTCAGCCTCCAGAGAGTGCTCTGGGAAGCAGAGCACTGAGTGTTGAGCTGTGTGTTCCCATTCCTG